GGGGGGGGGGGGTTGGCGGCCAGTCAGGGGCGAGAGGAGGCAGGAAAGCAGGACCCACCTGGAAAGCGCGGACCAGTTCTTTCTGCTAAAGGACATGCTGATCGCTCCTCCCGGGCTGGGACAGTGGCAGACCTTGGCGCTTAATGCTCCTTCCTCTTCAAGGCGCTGGGAAAACTTCCCAGGGCATCAAGGCAGAAGTGAGGTCCCCAGCGAAGAAGGCTCGCCCACCTCCAGAAACGTCAAGGTCCCTCCGCAAGGGAGCGGGTGCTACGCTCCTCTTTCCCACCCACTCACCCACCCCTCGGGCCTTTCTTTCCTTCCGCCCTTCCTGCCTGCCTGCCTGCCTCGCTCGCTGGCTTGCGCTGCGCCGGGCTGCGCACCTTTACCCCTGCGGTGCCACCCCGTCTACTGCCGGGCTGCCTGCGCGCTGCATCACATGGTCTCCTATCTACCTTGACAGGCGGGGAGCTGTAATTTGTCTCTGAGCAGCACCTTGCAAAAGGCACCCGCCGAGGGTGGGACGTGACCCAGCCTGCGCACAAAAGCAGCCATTCTTCAGTTGCCCGGGCGGGCGGGCTGGGGATGGGTTTGAATTCAGCTCCGCGTTCGGGCCAAGGCGCCCTGGATTTTCGGGGGGCCACTCCCTGCTCAGAAAACCAGTTTTTCCTGCCTCGCCGTCTCTGCCACCGGTTCCTCCGCGACTGTGTAGGCAGCGGAGAGATAGTGGAAGGCGGGCGAGAGCCGGAGAGGGAGGAGGAGAGAAATCACTCCATCAAGTCATCCGTGTCCCATTTCAACAGAGACACCCGCTTGCATGTGCTGGTCAATTTCAGGTCAATTAAAAAAAACTGCGACCTATTGGAAGGGGACAGGGCTGTTTTGGATTCTGCTCTGAGCCCCTTGCGCTAAGGCCTGCCGTGGGAACTGCTGGGCGATTGTTCGTTTTGCCTTGAGTAGTACCGTCTGCATTTAGCAACCGTGATTTAGGGGAATGACCGATTCCCACGGGAGGTTACAGGATGTGCTGGGCTAGTCCTTTGTACTGGCCAGGCTGGAAAGAGGCAGGAACCTTACACAACACCCATCAACTACCTAAAGACCAAGCCTTATCGCAGGCAGAATAGCCTGGCACAGAAAGGTGCTCGGATCTGAAGCTGCTTATGGGACCCCTATAAGTGAACCACCGGACAGTTCAGTGGTTTGGGTATCTGGCTGCGAAGCTAGAAGTTGGGATTTTGATTCCCTCCTGTGTCTTCTTGAGTGGGGCTGGACTCCATGGTCCATGAGATGCTGAAGTCAAATATCAGCATCCTTTGAGTCACAGAGCCTCTATACAGTTCCCGAGTCATCATTCAGGCCTGTCAAGAGGCCTGGGATGGTGGAAGATACAGTAAAATACATCGGAAGGCACCAGATTGGAAGAGTCTGGTTTAGGATTTTCTTTAAAAGTACCAAATTCTCTTCAGGCGTTTATACTCTTGGCTGCAATATCAGATGATGGCTTTATGTGTAAGGCATTTATCCCAGTTTAGGGAAAGGACACCTTGGCAGAGTTCCCCATCTGCATGCCAGCTTCTTTTGCTCTCACCGCCTATCAGGAATTGGAGAGGAGGCATACATGACTATTTAAAGGTAGGGAAGCTGGGTCATGGTAACCAGGTCTGGTTTGCCAGTGTAGGAAGCTGTGGCAGGGAACTGAGCAAAAATCTTTCCCTAACCCTGGCCCAGATCAGGCATGGAGCTTACCTGCCAAGACCTATGCAGGCACTTTCTTTAAAATATCTCCACATCACTTTTTCCCAGACCAATAAAAAACATAGTCACTATCTCTTTTTGTCCCATCATGTTATCAGCGCTGTGTCCACAGATGGAGTAGGAAGGATGATTCAGGCATCTTCCCCACCTGGTCAGCCAATAAACAAAGAAAAAATAATTATTGGTAGTGGTGGTTAATTCCACCCATCTGGCCATTAAGGCCACAAAGTCCAACTGAATTCACTGGGTAATGCACCCACCTGGCCTGACAGATCAAACTTGTGCTTTCTTTGTTATTTTTCTGCCACCTTCTTCATTCTCAGGGGAGGTTTTCCTGTGCCTTCTATTTGATTTGTGTTTGGTTTTGTTCCCTCGAGGAATTGCATGATCGTTTTTCTGACTATCTGAGTCTTTGTGTTTCTTCTTTGTTGTTTTCTCTAAAGCACTGCATTGTTATAAAAAGTATATTTTTAGCACTATAGATTTTATTCTGCTGGGGTAGAAGTCTTGATCTTAGCTGCATCAGTAGTTATTATGAGACAGAAATGTAAGGTGCACATCTGAAAAGAAATGAAGTTATTTTGGAGTAAAACCTGTGCTTGGAAAGGGTGGTTTGGAGAGTTGCATTCAATAATAATAATAATAATAATAATAATAATAATAATAATAATAATAATAATAATAATAATAATAATAATAATACATAGTAGTTCTTAATAGTTCTAAATATAGTAAACATGTATAATTTAACTGCATATTCCATCATCAAGAATGCCACTCTGCTGAGGGGAGCTGCTGCTGCTTATCATGTGCTGTCAAATAATTTCTGATTTTGTTCGTTCGTTTAGTCATTTAGTCGTGTCCGACTCTTCATGACCCCATGGACCAGAGCACGCCAGGCCCACTCTCCTATCCTCCACTGCCTCTCGTAGTTATGTCAATTTCATGTTGGTTGCTTCGCAGACACTGTCCAGCCATCTCATCCTCTGTCATCCCCTTCTCCTCTTACCGTCACACTTTCCTAACATCAAGGTCTTTTCCAAGGAGTCTTCTCTTCTCATGAGATGGCCAAAGTACTGGAGCCTCAGCTTCAGGATCTGTCCTTCCAGTGAGCACTCAGGGTTGATTTCCTTTAGAATGGATAGGTTTGTTCCCCTTGCAGTCCAGGGGACTCTCAAGTGCCTCCTCCAGCACCACAATTCAAAAGCATCAATTCTTCAGCAGTCAGCTTTCTTTATCGTCCAGCTCTCACTTCCATACGTCACAACAGGAAAAACCATAGCTTTGACTATTCGGACTTTTGTTGGCAAGGTGATGTCTCTGCTCTTTAAGATGCTGTCAAGGTTTGCCATCGCTTTCCTCCCAAAAAGCAGGCGTCTTTTAATTTCGTGGCTGCTGTCACCATCTGCAGTGATCATCGAGCCCAAGAAAGTAAAATCTGTCACTGCCTCCATATCTTCCCCTTCAATTTCCCAGGAGGTGATGGGACCAGTGGCCATGATCTGATTTACAATTTCTGATTTACAGGGACCCTTTTCAGGGTTTTCCAGGTAGAGAATACTATACTTGCCATTCCGTTTACCATTCCCTTCTTCTAGGGGCATCCTGGGACTGTGCAGCTTGCCCACGGCCACACAAGCTAGCTCTACACTTAAGAAGCATAGTGATCCCAACTTCTGGCTTTGCAGGCAGAGACATAAAGCACTGAGGTAAATGGAAATTAGAGGGACAAATTCAGTGGTGCAAGGAGGAAAAGACATGAGGATGTTGCAGGTGATTGGTCCATTATTAGTTATTCATCTAGTCCTTTTATTTGTTGAACTATCAGAGGAATAGTATGGTGGTGCTCAATTGCTCACCAAGAACTGATAAAAACAGTTTCCTCCCAGTGATCTGAATAAGTTCAAAAACATTGGAATAAGACTTAAGAATCCTGCAAGCATTTAAAATTTTACTTACATAGGTTAGTTCCCTGTGGCTGATACATAGCTGATAGATTTTAAAACATGAATCCTACTTTTCTACTTGAATTTAGGCTTTTGCTCCTCTACCCAAAGTACAATACGTGGGCCACCTTCCATGGGTCCTTTTGGCCTCATCACTAGGAAGTTGATCACAACAGGCCTGATGGCAATGTAGCAGTATTTCAGACAGACAGACAGACAGACAGACAGACAGACAGACAGACAGACAGACACACACACACACACACACACACACACACACACCTATTCTTAAAGGAGCCGCTTCTTCAGTCTTGTAAGCTGTTCCTAGTTGCCACTGTTGAGTGGCTATTAACAGGGAAGAGGTCTGGTTTGTTGGTCTGTTTGTTAGTACTGAAAGAATCCAGAATATGTCATGTGTGGTTTGTAGTTCAAGCAAGAGGCACTTTCCAACACAAGTTCAAGGTACACTCCCGCTACCAACCCTTTTATGGCCTACCTCCATTTCTGCAGCTTGTATGTGAATGTATCCTTGTCTATCTGCTCTATGCATATGTGTATGTGTGTGTGTGTATGAGTGAGTGAGAAAGGGAAAATAAGTGAATGTGTCTCACTGTATCTGAATTTGTGTGAATGCATATGCACTTGTCCTCCAGGTCTACCCACTGTTGCCTGCTGTGTTTTTCTCCCCTGCCAACACAGTGGACACCAGCTAACTCTGCACTCCTGCAACATGTTCTCATCTTAATACAGATAAAAATTAGTAGCATCCTTAACAGTGGAGGGTTGCCTATGAAGGCAAGTAGGAGATGCCCAGTCAGGCTCATGTTATCCCCAGCCAACCCATTCTCACCTGCTTTATTACCAGAGGCAAGTCCCACTTGTCTTATCCCTTCCCCCCAACGTCTGTATGTGTGGAAACATGCTTGCCTGTCTGGGTGTGTTACTTGCTTTTCACCTTTGCCACTGGCTGTGCCTGTCGCCCCTGGCTATGACAACCTGTGTTTTGATTTTTGCCATAGCAGCCATACTGAACACTAGCCACCACCAATGTCTACTGTAGTTATTGTCAAAGATCTCTGGCCAAGGCTTCAACTGTTGCTGACATTTTTTTCCTATTATATGCTTAAGGATTATATGCTTATGATCTACATTTACCAGAGACATCCAACAGCAACAACAACCATCTTATGTGACATTTAGAATATATAGAAATGCAATAATATGATATTGGGTAATGCACTAGATCCAGAGATACAACCCGTTTCTATTACCCAAAAGGCTGCAATGAGTTCGACACACTTCCGAGCACATGCACAATGATTTATGGCACTGTTTGATTCTGAGGCATTTTCCTGAAACATAAAATATTTTGGTATAGACTAGTAGGTGCAGCAACAGGGGGAAAGCCTGTTTCTACTTCTTGAGTAAATTCATCACATTAATTTGCCTTCCTTGTTTATTGATTTACTGGTTTAAAATAGTTAATACTATGAATTGATAATCAGTACATATTGTTCTTTAAACATGTTAATGACCTTAAACATGTTAATGTGATACAGTCAGCACACACCTGAAATGATATCACGTTATAAAACCGATGTTTCCTTTACATTTCTGTTACATTTCTGCAGGCTTTTGTCGGGGTGTTACTCCTGCATTTGTAGTACTGTACAAGTTAATTCTTTTTAACTACACAAAATAAAATCTTGCTAAATTAAAGAAAACATACCTCCTAATCTCTCAAGACGACCAATTCTATGTGCAGATGATTTTTGGAAAATATAAGGTTGTAGGTATTTCATATATCTGCATAGTCAACTAAATACCATTATAGTATTTCAACTAAAATATCTCTGTTTTTCCTTTTAAAAGTGCAGTTTCCACACCTTTCTTATCGATGAATGGAAAGGTATGGACATATGTTGGAAAAGATGAAGAGCCACAAGTGTCTATGCTTGCTTTAAGATAGGGTGGAGAAGGCATGGCTGATAGGATATGCTCCCCGCTGGGCCATCTCTGTGCCTCTTGCCAGATCCTTGCCAACATTTCCATTGCCACTGAAGTTCCAGCAATTCTTAGGAAATATGATAGGCAAGGAGGTAAAACTCTTTATATGACAATGGCCAAGTCGAGAGCAATAGAGCAGCAACACTGGCATTCGGACTGCATACCTGAACACTGGGACCACCTTACTGTTGATTTTCATATGCTGCTTGGGGAACATTTTCTGGCTGTAAAGCTCAGTTAAAATGATGATGACAATGATGATGGTGATGATAATCCTAGAACTTCATTGCCTAGTCATACTTGTTGGACAGTTGACACTAGGCCTATTGGTCTCATTCAAAACAGTGTTTGGGGAGAAATATCCAGTTGGGTGCTCAGATTATATGGGAGGAAAGGCTAGAAGAGGCCCAGACTTTTGTACTCACACCCTCAGCTTACTGTTTGTAGAAGACTACTTGGAGGAGTATGGTTTGGCTAAAACTGGAAGGAGCAGCAAGGGGGTGAAGTGACACCTGGTCCTTAAAAACTGGAAGAAGATGAAAAATCTGATACAAGAATCTGAAACTCTTAATGATTGTTTGCAAGTGCCTTTGAAGTTGACCATGCCTTCTTTGGGAGCAGAAATGTGTCTCAAAAGGAAAGAAAACAAAGCTCCATATGTCTTCAATTTTCTTGCTGTCACTAAAGGCTTCCTATTTTTATTCAGAACCAGATTCTTCATCCTCTTTTTGGGGTGTGAGGAGGCAGCCACACACCTCTCCCCTTTTCCACTTGGACCCTTTGGTCTCTGGCATATATGGCATTCCCACTTCTGTTCTGTTAGATACTGTAGGCAGGGATGTTCACAAGTCCCAAATCTGAGTCATTGGTACCAAGTCCTGAGTCCCAAGCCCCAAGTCCAAATCCCTGCTGCTTTCCCACACACACACAGAAAAAAGGAGGGGTAGATGGATTCTAAATCGCTAGTTGAGTCTGAATCACGGGGGGGGGGGCGATGATGAGTTGAGTCATCGGTGCCAGTTAATTCTGACTTGATGGTGAGTCCCATGCCTTGAGTCCCCATCCCTGACAGTAGCTATTCACAAAATGCTTACTTAACAAACGCGCAGCAGCTGATGGAGTCTGCTTCAGGTGCTCCTGTGAACCATGGAGATTTCCCTTTCACAATACCTTTTGTTGCTGTGAACTCCCTTATTTTTATTCCCTGTGCTTAATTTTCTTATCCAATAAACCTGAGTGACTGGTTGGTTTGCAAGCAATCTCTCATCCCGCAGGCAAAAGAGGGAGTGCGGGTGGAGAGATTTTCTTATTTTTTGACACTTGAATGCAGACTGTTAACATAGCATTATTTTAATGAAAGGTTCCTGACTGCAATTATCTTTTGAACTGATAAATCTGTCAGGCGTCCTTCTCTTCCACTTTAAATAAACTTTTTCTCTGCATTCTGATCTGCTGAAGCAGTTTTTCAGGTACATGGAAATTCAGGTTGTTGTAAGAAACCCTTCTACACTGTCACCACGTTACTTACAAACCTGGTCATAACCCTGCTATTTCTCCATTGGGAGCAACAGACCTCTGCGTTAAACAGTCAATGAAGAACTAAGCTTGAGAAGTCATTGCCATAGGACATTGCTGAGGCTAAGGGCTTAGATTTCAAAAGGATAAGGCATCTAAATGGACAACAGGAACGCCTAGAGTTAGCAGAGGTATTTGTAAAGCATTGAAAACTTCATGCTTCAGGGATCAACTGTAACAACAGTAGTTCAGAATTTAAACAAATAAATAAGAAAAGTCATGTCAAACAGCAGAGAGCTTTGCTTTGACTCAGGGTGCATTGTTGATCAATGTTTATTCAGAGCATCTTAAACAACAAAGATTCTTGTAGTACCTCCAAGACTAACATGTTTTATTTGGCATAAGCCTTCATAGCCAGTTCTTCAGATGCACAGAGTATCACCTGAATGGACAGATATTCATAGAGATGCTTAAGGTGAGAGTGAGATGTGAAGGAATAGAAATGAAAAGGTACAAATACAAAGATATATACAAGATATATTTAAAATATATATTTTAACAGAAGTTCCAGGGACCTTAAAGTTGCAAAAATACACAGATTCACACATACCTGATGATAAAGACTTTCTTCAATATAAGAGACTGAATATAACCTCTAGAAGACAATGTGGTGTCTATAAAGTGGTGTCTATAAATTGGTATTGTCTTTATTATCTACATCTGCTTCCTCCAAATTTGGATTATAAAACTCTGAAGCAACTGCACTGGCAGCACTCAAATAGTGTTCAGCTGGGGGCCAGGTTAAAAGCAATTAAAGCTTGTAAACATTATTTTCCTGGACTGTGACTGCTGAGGGAAGAGAATAACAACTGCCAGGGATGGTGGAAATCCGAAAAGTAGCATATCCAAGTGTTATTTGCAATACCATTCACAAAATCAGCTGTTTATATTTTTTATTTGTTATTTTTATAACTGACTTCTTTTCATGTGTGCGTATATAGGGCTCTCATCTTGCCCAGTTCATCCTTCGTATTAACCCAGTAAGATGTGGGTGTGACCACACAGCAAGAAGAAATACATTTTGATCCTCTGTGATTTATAGTTTATCGAACTGGGTTTCCCTTTGTGAAATCACTCTAGTTGACCAGGTGACAATTTGCAGGAGTCAGCATGGCAAAGACAATTTGCATTGAGCTCCAACAGCAGACGTTTCCTTAAAGTGGTAACAAAATGTTAATTAGCTGTTTCTGTCTCTCTCTCTTTTTCACAGTTGTTGTAAATTCTCTAGCAGTAGCATATTCCCAGAACTGAACTGAAACACTTTTTTGAGACTGCTTATTATTATTGTTATTATTGTTATTGTTGTTGTTGTTGTTGTTGTTGTTGTTGTTGTTGTTGTTGTTGTTGTTGTTGTTGTTGTTGTTGTTATTATTAAAGAGCCTCGTGGCTCAGTGGTTAAAACGCTGTACTGCAGCTAAAACTGTGCTCACGACCTGGGGTTCAAATCCCAGGTAGCCGGCTCAAGGTTGACTCAGCCTTCTATCCTTCCGAGGTCGGTAAAATG